AATCCTGGATAGAATCCATCAGGATTAATATACTTCCATGGATGCTGTACTTATTTCTCAACTCAACTTTATTTTTATTTTGGTAAATTACCATTACAGAAAAAGGAAAACAATATAGACTACTTTTGACAAATCAATAATTTACCAAAAAAGGAATAGGCTGAAGCCGAGGCTTATACTTGCCTACCCTGTTCATAGACTCAGCAGTCTTCAATAATAAAATATATCTACTGTCCATATATATACATACATTACATATACACATATCTATATAAAAATATGTCTGTGTATATGTATAAGCATACTTACATTACATACATACATTGTTAAACACTACATATATACATCTACATAACAGTATAAGCTTTTATAATTTTACCTTTTATGGACCTTTTAAAGCTCAACAAAAAAGCACATAATTTGAGTTCATCATTCAATTCATTCCACAATTTCACACCGACAACTGAAATGCATCTAGATTTTACTTTACTTTTCTCTTTAGCTTGTTCAAATATTAATAAACCTCGTAAATTATAATTACTCTCCCTTAACTTAAATAATTTCTGAATTCCAGAAGGAAGACTTTTATTCACTGCTTTATACATTATTTCCAGTATTTTTATATTTACAATGTCATTAACTTTTAAGGTGTTACTTTGAATAAAAAGTTTATTAGTTGGTTCACAATATCCCACTTTATTAATAAGCCTAATTGCTTTTTTTTGTAACTTTACTAATATGTCAATAGTTGTTTTATTAGCATTTCCCCATATTTCTGCACAGTATGACAAATAGGGCATAACCAAGGAAGAGTATATAATATGCAAGCCTTTTACATTTATTAAATCTTTTATTTTAAACAATATTCCAACAGTTTTTGAAACTTTATTTCTAATATATTCAATATGAGGCTTCCAACTAAGTTTGTTGTCCAGAATGATACCTAAAAACTTTGTCTCATAAACTCTGTCGATTTCAACTCCATTTAGATGTAACTTTACATTATTGTAAATCCGATTACCAGAAAATACCATAAATTTTGTTTTTTGTCCATTTAATGATAACTTATTGTAATCAAACCACTTTTTTAACTCAGCTAGCTCTTTTTCTACTATTTGTATTAGTTCATCCATATTCTTTCCAGAAAGAAAAAAATTTGTATCATCAGCAAACATTATAAATTTCAAAATATTGGATACTGTAAAAATATCGTTCACATAAAGTATAAATAATTTAGGTCCTAGAACCGAGCCTTGAGGAAGACCACATTTTATAGTTTCAGTTTGTGACTTTGTATTGTTAATTTGTACATATTGTAATCTATTACTCAAGTAACTCTTTAACCACTGATGTGTAACCCCCCGTAAGCCATATTGTTCACATTTCCACAGTAGTCGTTCATGGTCAATAGTGTCAAACGCCTTACTTAAATCAATGAACACTCCCACTGTATTAAGTTTCCGATCAACGGCTGCAGCAACGTGTTCCACAAACTCCATCACAGCTAAAGTTGTGGAGTAGTTGTTTCTGAAGCCGTACTGGTGTTCATTTAATATATTGTTTTTATTAAGAAAGGAGTCCAGCCTTTTTATGAATATTTTTTCCAGGATTTTAGAAAACTGTGGTAGCAATGAAATAGGTCTATAATTTGTTACATTTTGCTTATTACCATTTTTGTGGACTGGAAACACCTTGGCTACTTTCATTTTATCAGGAAATTCTCCAGTTAAGAATGATCTATTACAGATATAGGTGATAGGTTTAATAATACTATAAATAACTTCTTTCACAATAGCCATATCAATATAATTACAGTCTTTGGATTTCTTATTTTTTAATTTTTTAACTACTTCGATTACCTCACTTTCACTCACTCCTCCAAGAAACATTGTATTAATATTATTAAATGTATAATTGAGTTTTTCATCTCTAGCCTTTGGCAACTCATTTACTAAATTAGGACCAATATTAACAAAGAACTGATTGAAGACTTCAACAATATCCTCTTTATTTTCCATTGTGGTGTTATTATGTTTAATACACATTGCCAAATCTCTGTCTTTATGATTTTTAATGACACTATTAATTATCTTCCAAGTACCCTTAATATCATTGCTGTATTTTTGCAATAGCTTATCATAATAATATAGTTTTTGCTTTCTCAGCACTGATGTTAATTTGTTTTTATATTTTTTATATTTGTCTTCTTTTTCCTGGGTTGGGCACCTAATAAAATCCTTATATAACTTGTTTTTCTTTTTACACGACTTTTCCAGACTCTTTGTCATCCAGGGAGTCAATCGGTTTTTTGATGTTTGTTTGTATTCTTTAAAGGGACAATGATGATTATAGCTTCTTTCAAATATTTCCAAAAATGTATTATATGACTCATTGACGTCATCAACAAAAACATTTAGCCAATTATAATTTAGTAACTCTGCTTTCATTTCTTCCACAGCTTCAGGTGATTTAGCTCTAACTAGATTAGGAGCTGGCTTTGTCATATTTAAATTAAACTGATGACTAGTATCCAACACAGTAAACACTGGCAAATGATCAGTAATATCAGTTATCAACAGTCCACTTTTTGTTTTCACATTGAACTTATTTATAAAAATATTGTCAATCAGTGAAGCACTGTCTTTGGTTATTCGAGTAGGTCTTAATATTAATGGATAGAAACCTAAACCAAACATTGTGTCGACAAATTCAGTTGTTTTGTTATGTTCATTATTTTTCAACAAATCAATATTAAAATCCCCACAAATAAAAGTAAATTTTTCATTATACCTCTCATACATCTCTAATGTTTTCTTACTAAACTCATCTATGCATGAGCTAGGAGTTCTATAAACACAACTAATTAACATATGCTCAGATCTATTACCCTCAATTTTAACAGATAAACATTCCATCAAGTTATCAACTGAAAATGTCATTTTATCAATAACCTTACATTTCAGTCCTGACTGAATAAACAGTGCAACACCTCCTCCTCTTTTGTTAAACCTGTTTTGAACAAACATTTGATATCCATCCAGACCATCCAACAGTTCATTTCCTTCAGTGATCCAGGTTTCTGAGATTGCTACTACACTAAATTTCTCATCAAATGTTTGAAGGCAGCTTTTTATTTTAGAGAAATTGCTTTGCATGCTCCTACTATTAAAGTGAATAAGTGAGAAGCCCCCCCACCCCACATTAACACTGCCTTCAGAATAATATTCACAGTGTGGTTTAGTATTATGACTGAAATTTGTCTCTGGGTCTATATCAGTTTCTATATCATAAAACTTGTGATCTTTAAAATCGAAACACTTAAATTGTGTACTTTCATCCATGGATAAATAATATGTCGTTCACCTCATCAGCATGTACAGAAACCAGACTGACAGAAAAACAAAATTTAAAAAAAGTAAACCACATTGTTCATCTATATTTCTCCAGCTCAGAAACATTTTTGATAGTTAGGACTTTGGCCTGCTCAGGAGAACCATTAAGTTTTATCAATATTTTACAGTTCCTAGTCCATGTAGCTTGTATTTTTTTCTCCTTCTTCAGAATCCTCGCTTGGTAAGCAATCTCTGCATTCTTCTTTGTGAGGTGTTCATTTACAAACACATCTGTACCCTTCAGTTTTTTAACAACTTTTAGCAGTTCAGTTTTGTGTTTTGTACTCACAAATCGAACGATGATATTTGGTCTTTTTTTGCGTTTATCCAAGCTTGCATTTTGTTTTTGCGGCACTGTGTAGCAAGCAGCTATAGTTTTAGTATCCAGCAAAATGTCCTTGCTGCTGAAGAACTTGATGACTTGCTGCTCAAGTGAAAGTAGTTCATCTGGTGGTGCATCTTCCCCTTCATTGTCTTCTGCTGTTGTCCTTGCATATGTGCGGTGTGTCGTTTTAAGTCCAGATATCACCACGTCCTCCTTTCTTGTGTACTGTTCCAGGTCCTCCACTCTTTTATCCAGCTCTTCAATCTTCTCATCCTTCTCTTTGATAATCACTTTCAGTTGTTGAAATTCTCCAATCAAACGCATCAGACTTGTTTGTTGCTTCACCACCTTGCTCAGTTCTTCTGACATGACATTCAATGATAGCTTGAGTTCTTCCATGTCTTTTGTCAAGTTTGGAGCCATTTTTTACTGCTTGTTGGCTGCTGAGAATCCTGGTAATTCACTAGGCCTTTGCTGCTTGTTTAAGCACATGTATTCAAAATGTGCTTAAAGGTTGAAAAATAGCAGAAATGATCCTACAAATCTAAACATTAGTTGAATATCAAAGTGCAAAACTCCAACATTTGCTTGGATGTTGAGTTGTTTTCCAGATATTCAGTAGATTTTCACTAGATTGTAGGTCAGATCCAGACAACCTCCCTAGTCAGCGGCCATCTTGATCATTTTCTGAACTGTATATTTCAATGTTTACCAGTCAAAATCCCACCTAAACAGTCCTTACATTGGGACAGATTAATAGCAAAGTATTTGTGGCAGGGAAAAAAGGCCGGAATCAAATTCAAGACGCTGAAATTAAGAAAAGAAAAGGGTGGAATGGGCCTTCCCTGTTTACAGGATTACTATCACGCAGCCCGAGACCTTTAGTTTGTCTGTGTTCACCAACATGCACTGCAGCGTGGAAGGAAATAGAAGACACAACCATAAAAGGAGTCCCAATAACAGCCCTACTCAGAACAGCAGTTTTGTTTTAGGTGTGCTTTACAAATAAAGGATTTGATTTTGATTGGCTTATGTCACATTGTTCACTGCTGTATCAACAAAGATGAAACTGAAAAAAAAAAGTAGTCAACGCACAAATGTCCAAAAATAATTTCCCCAAAATTGTAACTAACAGTCAAAACCAGTACAACAAGTCATTAACTTATTGTTACCTGCAGCTCCATTGCATTCATTTGTAGTCTTTTCTGTGTGCGGACAGTTTGATTTGTTGTTTCAGGGACAGTTAAGAGTGTTTGTTAATGTGCTTGCCGTTTGACCCTCACCTGTGCCACATATGACAGATCAGAGATGAGTGAGAAGCTATCCACTTCTCCTCGACCGATGTAAGTCTGGAGTAAGATGTTCACTTTGCCGTAACCATTTTCGGCCCCACCGGCAGCTGGCAGCTCGCAGTAATTACAAAGCATCTGGTCCAATTCTTCCAACTCCTCCTCTCGAACCTGCCAATACATTCCCATTAATGATTGACAGCTGCTTTCAGATTTAAAGTTAGACTTTAAATGTTTTAAAATGTTAAACCCTTTGTAGCATGTTGGTGAAGTCAGAACATCAAGCAGCCCTATTTAAGGCTTAACCTCATACCTTAAGTTGGTCGAACTCTTCAGCCTTGGACACAATGCTGAGGATGTCAGCTTCAGTCCTCTGAGAGTTGAACAGTTCGTTGAATGTCTTCACACACAGGGAACATTTGTCAGTAAATGGTAAATGAACTGTATTTGTACAGTACATTTCTATCTATTCAAGATCATCAAAGCTCTTTACAACACAATCTGAGTCCTCATATACCCATAAGGAAGAGACTGGAGTTTTATCCAAACATGTTTTAAAAATGCCTTGTTTAAGGTTAGAAATAGATGAAGACAAACACATTTCTGAAATACCTTTGGTGCCAAGACACAAGCAAATATGAATCCATGATGGCTCCAAATCAATTCATCCCTCTGCAAGTTTCATCAATTTGTTCTTGTGTATTTAGGACACAAAATAATTACGGAAATCTGGCCCTGGCCACTCTGTACCTGCCTCGGCCTAAATGTACCCACTTCTGTCTGTTATGTACACAAACCACTTAGTACCTTCCTTGGCAGCTGCCCTGATGTGGAATACTTCATGTACAGGAGAACACTTTGTAAAAGAAGATAAGCTGGTACAGCCCGGTTAGTTCCTACACTCCTGTTTTAGCTGATTTACACTGGCTGTCTGTTAAACTTTCTTAATGATTTGAAAATTATTTTACTGACTTTTATTGCTTTATATGACACCCAGTTATTTAAAGGAGCTTTTGCATTTTTACAACCCAAACAGAGCACTGAGATCCTCTATTCAGATGCTTTTAGTGCAGCCGAGGGCTAAATTAAAGTGTAGAGCGGATCGGAAGCCCCCAGACTCTGGAATAATCTGCCCATTGAATTCATTCTACAGAGTCCGTACAGTCCTTCAAATCCCACCAAAACTCACTTTTTTTACTCTGGCTTTTAATTCAAGTTCTGTTTGAGTGTTATCAGAACTAGTGTTTTTTAAAGTTTGATCTTTCATTTATTTTATTGCTAGATTTCCTGTTTGCAAACTACATTGTTGGTTTTAAATGTGCTGTATAAATAAAATTGACATTACAGGGTATGTACTTAATGTAAATTGCTTACATATTATGTGCATACCACTTCTGAGTACATAAGGTAAGCAAATACCAAGTAAGTACTAAATATATATATCATATATAACAGTGTGTCCCTTTTCCATTAGCACCTGTTAGGCACAGTTCGACTCGGTTCAACACGGCTCCAAGGCTATTCCACTAGCAATGATTCGTGGAGCCAGCCCGTTTTTCAGGACCCACTTTGCTCTGGTTCCAAGCGTACCGGGCTGGCCTTAAAACGTGACGTCAGAACAATGTCGGTCACTGACTGGTCAGGGGGTGGAGCCACTGGTTGGTTGAGAAACTTTCACAACAACCCAATCCGCCATTTGCAATAACTCAAACTCTGAGGAGTGACTGGACCTGTTTTAAAAATTTTAAAAACAATAATGACAACACCGTGTTTTAACGCTGAAATGCAGGCCTTTTTTGCATTTGGTGATCAACGACAAAATTCAGAGCGAGCTAGATGGAGCTCGCCGGTCCCCCTGGTCCTCTCCACTGGAGCCTTGGTGCCCCTTCAGGCCGAGCAGGGCGTCACTTCCCCGGCTCCGAACTCTGCTGGTCACCACGGAGGATCCTCTCAGCTGCTGACCCGTAGGAGTGCGTAAGGCCAGAACTAGGGCTGAAACGATTCCTCGAATAATTCGAGGACCTCGATTACAAAAAATCCTCGACGCAAATTTATCTGCCTTGAATCTTCGTTAAACTATTCAGAGCACTGTGTTCTAGCCGGAACGTTTTTGTGTTACACAATGCTAGCACTTCCACTAACGCGTATGTGCTAAGTTTGTAGCTATGGAGGGAACAGAGACTGCGTAGAAGAAGAGCCATGAAAACAACAAAAACTGTCAAAAGTTTGGAACATTTTAGGCTAAACAGAAAAGACAACACAGCTCGGTGCTTTCACTGCAAAGCAGAACTGGAGTAACCACAACAGCACGTCGTCAATGTTGCAGCGTCTGAAGAGAAAACACACGCTGTAGCATCAAACTCGTCCACAGCTGTAACAGGTATCATGTTCTCTTTGTAAAATACGTTCACCTAAATGTGTGATAATCTGTCATGCTATAGATGTAAAATGAGGCATATTGTTGCTAACATTAAATATACTGACTAATCATAGTGGCTACCTGGCAGAGTCTGTACGTTGTGTGAGGAACAAAAACTCTGCAGGACTTGATGCAAGTCTGTTAAAGATCAAAGCAGCAACAGACTGACACATTTATTTATTGCTGAACTTCCATCCTGACTTAAATTAGATATTTAGGGTGAATATTTCAAGTGTAAATGTATTTACATGAGTTAGTAGGATTTTTTTTTCTTCTTGCTGCTGTTTATGACTGAAAACTGGGATTAATTTGCATTTATTACTACTGTTATATTTGTTTATAGCTCAGCAATCAAGACTAAATAATAACAGTCTGCAGAACTCAATGTACAAACTCAAACTTTACATTATCTATCTTACTCAGTTTCTAACAAAGATTCAATTCAGTTTTCCAATCCATAAACATTTATAGCATTTAAATTTTTATGTGATGGTTTAAAATAATTCAGTGACAGAGGGTTTTAATTAAATCATCCTCAAACCTCACACATAATAAAAGCATAAATCAAATACAACTGACACTAATGTTACTTTGACTGCAGCAGGTCATCAGAAAGTGTAGATTACTTAACAATATTACATAATTTTATAATATGCAGTGAATTACACTTGAAATTTTATTAAGGAATAACAAACAAACAAATAATAATTTTATTCTTCTTCTTTTCAGTAAATGTCAGAGTCATACGTTGGACAGCTTCGTACAAAGAGCTCCAGGATGTTGGTTGAGCAGCAGATGAGTTCACAAACAGCATTTTAAATCTGATCATCACAGACATGCAGCTGCTGTCTGTGGTGGAAGATGAAGGATCATCTCCACCTTCAGTCCAAATCATGTCCTTCCTCCCAGATCCTACTTTGTAAATTCCATTCAGTTTTCCGATCCATAAAAAATATTTTACAGCATTTAGATTTTTATGTGATGTTTAAAAATAATTCAACTTAAGCAATAAAATATTTTAAAAAGAGAAATTAAATGGGTTGTTTAGTTAATGTTCTTTTTTTGTGTATTTGTATTACTCATAAAATGAATACTGTAGTAACTGCAGAACCTGACAAATTGTGTTTTTGATTATTCGATTAATCGTCAGAATAATCTATAGATTATTTGATTACTAAAATTGTCATTTACACCAGCCCTAGCCAGAACCCAAGCCCCAGCAGGCAGTTGCGGACAGGTCTGGGACGGAGGGTGAAAACAACTTTTAAAAATAGTTTATGTATTAAAAAAATATGTATTATTATTATTTTTATCAGTGAAGATTTAAAAAAATAAACTGTGCCGTTTTATCATGAAATCCTGGTTTTTTTTTTTCACTTTAATGACTTTATTAAATAATCTGTTAATTAAAGTTCACTCAGCTGAAAAATCATAAAAAGACATAAAATTATGGGATCTCTCAGGAATATTTCCCTCAAACATGTTTAAAGAATAGATACAGCCTTTAGGTCAACTTTATTCTAACCCACAGATGTACAAATAAAATGAAAGTTACGTATGTAACTACGGTTCAATGAATCCTGGATGACCGCCAGAGGGCGGTGCTGAAAGCACTGAATGTTCCCTTCGCACATGCGCTGTTCGTGTAGTAATACCAACAGAGTCACAGGTGTGACATGGATGACCAATCAGAGGCTATATAGCCTGTTGTCATCCATAGCTCTGCTCCTACAGAATCTTCTTGCAGAATGCAAGGATTCTGAGTGACAGAGAAGCTCTGGCGGTCATCCGAGATTCATAGAACTGTATTTACATACGTAACTTTTGTTCTATTTCATCCCTCCTGACCGTCAGAGGGAGGTGCTGAAAGCACTGAATGACTAATACCAATGATTTCACAAGGAATCCTGAGCACACACCTCACTGAGGAGGCTCAGAGGACCCTTGTAGAAGAACCTGGCCCAGGGGATGAGGGGTAGCCACGTTAACGCTGTAAAATCTGAACGTGCTTGGGGAAGCCCATGATGCAACAGCACATATTGCTTCCAGTGGAATCCTCCTCAGTGTTGCCCAGGAAGCGGAGATGCTCCTGGTAGAGTGTGCCTTCACGCCGACCGGCAGGGGGCCGTGCCCTGCGGCATAGGCATGGAAAATGACATCCACGATCCAGTGGGAGAGGTGCTGTTTGGAAAGAGGACAGCCTAACCTAGGGCCTCCGTAATGTACAAACAGCTAGTCTGAACGTTACATAACTGCAGTAGCTGCAACGTATGTCTCCAGTGCTCTCACTGGGCACAATAATCCAGACCCCTCGCCAGGCGTAGGCTGAAAATGTGCCAGCCTCAGCAGTTGGTTACAGTGAGAGTGAGATAACACCTTTGGTACAAATGCGGTGTTTGGCCACAAAGTAACACCAGAGCCCTGAGGGCCCCACCTGAGACACGAGGGGCTGACTGAGAGAACATGTAGTTCGCCGACCCTCTTTGCTGAGGCAATAGCCAACAACAAAGCCGTCTAACATGAAAGCCACTTGAAACCAGCCTGCATCAGAGGCTCAAACGGAGGGTGGTACAGAGCTTCGAGAAACAAGGGCAGATCCCAACCTGGTGCTTGTGGAGCCATCAGCAGTTGCAACCTATGGGCAAGATGCAGAAAAAGAGATAATACATTATGGCTCCCCACCGTACAGCCATCAATGCCAGCGTGATTAGATGATATTGCCACTACATAAACTTTAAGCATCGAAGGAGAGCAACCCTTACCAAGGAGAGACTGGAGAAACTCCAGAATGGTGGGTACTATACAGGAGACTGGATCCTCATTGTGATCAGAACACCATTGGAAAAACAGACGCCACCTGTTTTCGTACTGCTGACGAGTAGAGGATGCCTTGGCGCCCAGGATAGTGCGTATGACGGGGCTTGAAACTCCAGTTAGCTGCTGTCCTAGCCTCGCAGTGGCCACACCCACAGTCGAAGACA